TGTTACATTTACACATATCTACACAATTGTCTAAATCTCTTTTGTATCTTTAGTTTAACATTCTTGTGGAAGAGAACTTAGTAGTACATGTTCAAGAAATATTGAGTGGAGAGTATCAAAATTAAAAAGGTAATTTATATGGATATGAAAAGGGAAAATTGCTAATTGAGGATGTTAACTTTTTTTATTATACGGCTTATTATGAGATATGATGAACTCGAACATATCTTAATTTTTAATATAATGATGTTAAGTCATTTGAATGGTTTTCTTTGCTTGTGGTTATGAGAACAAGTTGTTGGTTGTGGATTTCTGGGTTGGCTACTTAGCTGATTTTATATTTTCTGTTTATCAATTTTATATTTTCTGTTTATCAATTTTAATTTTCTTATTTTCTTTGCTTTCAATTTTCTTCCTGTTGAAAGCTTAATTATTGAATGATGATTGATGATATTATTTTTAGATGCACTTGGGACATGAGGGTTAGCTATTTGGCTAGTCTTATCTTGATGCCTCTTCTAGTTGGTTGTTAGCTTTTTATTTACTTTATTTTTTAGTTCTCATGTTTGTGATAATGATTAGACACTATACTTGGTTCATATTTGGTAAAATGGGTGGTTATTTTGTGTAATCGATTTTATTTTTGATGGAGTAATGATTTTAGGCAGACGTAGTGGCTCAATTGGTTATCGAGAATCTTGGTGCTTTTTTTTTTATGGTTGATATGCTAAAATATTTATATGCAGTTTAGAGTGCTATCTAGAATCTAAATAATTTAAATTTGTAGGTTGTAGCATATGTTGTAAACCCATTTCATGCCACACCAACTTGCAGAATATTTTGGCTGGAGTTGACTATGTAAGCCTGGGAATTTATTTGTCATTGATTTTAATGGCAAAATGGTGAGTATTTTGGGAGCTGACATGCTTTATGTTCAATATATCTTTTATGATATGGATATATATAATGTTCTCTCGAGATGGAATTGTCTTGTCTATTTTTATTATGGGTGATATCTTATTTCATATGTCTTGAGTTTATCTTTTTGGTGCTTCATAGAAAAGAGGAGGAGAGAGTGTTGATTTTGATTTATATATTGCTTAAATATCTAAAAATTTGTGCTGCTCAACTTTGTGAGTGAGCTATAAACAATGTCTTGCCGGAAGAAAGAGAGCTTTAAAGCTTTAAGTCGCATTAAGCAGTGAACATACATGTTTGCCATCAACTTACTTCTTTTTTATCAAATTACCAATTCTGAACGTACCTCTTTTCCATCAACTTTCTTGTTTTGAACAAAGGTTGGATATTTATTTTGTAAAATTATTATTTCATTTGAATTAGTGATTTGTTGAGTAATTGGATATCTTCATCAGGTTTCACTTCGATCAAACTACTGATGTCTGGGTTGCCATTCGAATGACTAATTGGTTTATTAAGTTGCACTTTCAAGTAATAGATGTTTTGGTAATTGGTTATTATCTATTTCAGGTTCTTTTTTAATATCTATAACTATGGCAGGAAAGATATTTTGTCGCATAATCACTTACATTGACCTGTAATGTGTTGATTAATTGATAATTATTTATTCTGATCTAATTGGTATTGGAAATCAATTAGAGGCTTAGAGACCCAAATTCTGCAATCAATCTGGAATGTAAAATTGAAGGCTTGCATTTATAATTTTTAAGATCTGTTATCTAAAATTATTTTTGGCAAAATAAACCATAAATTTCTATGAAATTAATATGTCAATAGCTCCATAGAAAACGTGGGTCTAGCTGATGATAAACTATTTGATTTGTTATTGAAGTCTGAGAAATCAAAGAAGTCTGAAATGGGTTGAGTTTCAACTTCGAAGACCTGAAGCTTGATCTGTTCAAGCAAAATGTATACGTATGTTTCTAAATTCATTTATGATGGTTTCACGGCTTGTATTGATTTAAAAATTCATCTACGATGTTTGACATTAAGAAGTTAGGAGAGGAGGGCATTGATATTTGAGGAGAGGCTTGATGTTTTATATTGCTTCTTTTATCCATCGGACATTTGAGTCTACTTTTTATTTTCAAATTCATATATGGTGTGATATGCAGACCGTTGGTAAATATGCATATGTTATGTACTTCTGTTTCTGTATTTCATTTATGTTGCAACTAGGGTTGTAAACGAGTCGAACACGAGCGAGCAGTTCACAAAGGTCACATTGCCACTTCGTTTATATTTCGAGCTCAAAACATGTGTTCGTGTTCGACTCGTTTGCTTAACGAGCCAAACACGAGCTGTTCACGAACAAAGAGTCGTTTTAACTGGCCTAATCACATAGCCATAAGACTGTAAGGGTTTGAGCAAGATTTAAAAATTATTATTTATATTAAAACATCATTTGAATCTAATTTAAGAATTTTTATTCTATTTTCTTAATTAATATTTTAGTTGATTATAAATTTTTGTAGCCTTGTAGTGAATCAGATTTTTTTAAAATACTTTTATATATATATATATATATATATATA